TAAAGGCGTGCGCCACCACCGCCCGGCTCGCTCACATTTTTAAAATCACTATCTAACAACAAAAATTTCCCCTTCTTTTTCTTTCTCTTGTCCTCAATTAAAATCCATGAATCTAGCCTAGCGTTGGTGGCGCACTCCTTTAATCCCAGCACTCGGCAGGCAGAGGCAGGCAGATCTCTGTGAGTTTGAGACCAGCCTGGTCTACAGAGTGAGTTCCAGGACAGCCTCCAAAACAATACAGAGAAATCCTGTCTCAAAAAAACCTAAAAACCCATGAATCTATATTTTAGAACTAGATCCTAATCGTGATTTCACAATTATCTGTATGGCCATGGTCAAACATGGTATCTTTTCAAATTGTGTGTGTGTGTGTGTGTGTGTGTGTGTGTGCCTGAGTATATGTATGTTCACTGCAGGGGTGGGTGCCCTCAAAGATCAGCAGGGAGCCTTGTATCCCCTTGAACTGGAGTGACTGTCAGTTATGAGGCCCCAGTGTGGGTGCTGAACCTGGGTACTTTGCAAGATCAGCAAGTGCTCTTAACCACTGAGCCATCTCTCCAGCCCTGCTTTATCCAGCATCTTTGGGCTTCACTTTCTCAGCTATCAAATTAACATCTGCTCTATTTTCTTCACAGGGCTGAGGTTAACATCAAACAAAAGAACACATAAATTATTTGGTACAAGTTATTAGCATGTCGTTCTAATTCCTTGAGAAATCAGGCTACTGTATGTAAGTGACGGGCAACGTTTTTAAAATTTTGTTCCCTATGTTATGTTTCAACTAGTTATAATATTATTTAACAACTTGCTCCTCTGGTAGTTACAGAAGGCAAAAGTTGTTTCTAACTTTTTATTTATATTACTTATCAATTTAGTTCCTAACTCTTGAAACTTATAGCTTGGTGTCTTCCTTGAGTATCCTAATATATAAAAGCTAAGATGAAATGTATTTTGTTTTAATACTACACTACTATTACGCCCATAAGGATGTGGATCTGACCAAAAGTCATAAGCTACAAATAATGGAGAATCATGCATTTCTTTAACTTAGGCCTTTAAAAAAATTCATTTATTCTACAAATATGTGAGTACAAAGTACAGGCTCTGTGCTAGATGCTGGGTATAAAAATGTGAAAAGCAGATATTGTACTTGTTCTCAAGAACAACCTGCCAATGAGGCAAACAAGGCAGATAAACATGCATGAGAAGATAAACTTTCGAAAACACTGTAAAGAAAACAGACAAGTTCTGCACACTATATGACCTGTGACAGCACAAAAATGAGCCGCCTTTCACTCCAACCCTGGAGGATTTAACCATTCTAACCCAGCTCCTCTACTCAACAACCTTGTGAGATGAACACATTACTTAAGGCTGTACCTCAAGTTTCTCCTGCAGAATTAGAAGAAACAATACCTTCCCCAAAAGAATGATATAATACCTAAGTCAAATGCTTTTGTTTTATTTTGAAACCAGGCACAAAGAATATTTAATATAATTTGAAAATAAAAATTCACTAACATGAATCTGTATTTTCAAATTGAATTAACATTCCTAAACTACTTAGAGAAGTGTCCTAGCACACAATAAGCATCATCATATAAATAATAATCATCACCAGATATATGTAGTTATAATACAGCTAACTAGTCATTTTAAATAAAAGTAAAATTGACAAAATGACTTAAAAAAAACTTTCAGGGAAAATCGGTCATTTTTCTCATGAGATCCTAAGAGACACCTTTAAGTTGAAAGAGAACGGCAGAGACATAAGGAGGGAGGCAAAGGAGGGACGGGGTAAAGGAAAAAGAAAAGGGGGAGACGAAGCCCAAAGGTTTCTGGGCCTCAGCTTTTGACAAAGGTCAACAGCGCACTCTGCTGGACCAGAGTCTCCCCTACACACTGAACAAAAAAAGCTGCTCCTGCATGCTACATTAAGTCAAATAGAATTACTATAATTAATGTATTTGATGCTATCATTTGTTTCATAAACACTGAAATAAGCATAAAACATGTCTGTAACAATGCCTTATTCATTATAAAGATTTACTTAAAAATATAAGTCAACTCCTAAGAAAATGATATGAATCCTGGAACAAAGCAGTAATAGTTTATCACTATATTCCCCCAAACACAAGGCTTCTCTTGATAACACTCTGATCATGTGAAGACTGATGATTTACTAGATTGCTAGTATATGAATTATTACAAGAAAATGAATCTGAAAGTCAGGTGTGGTGGTACACAGTGGGAATGCCAGTACTCAGAAGTTGGAGGCAGGCTGAAGTTCAAAATCATTGTTAGGTTACATAAGAAGCTGAAGACCAGCCTGAGACACGCGAGTCCTGTCTCAAACAAACAAACAAACAAAAGAGAAGGACAATTAAGGATAAAAGAATAGGGGCTGGAGAGATGGTCCACATGGCAGCTCAACGCTGACTGTAACTTCAGTTTCAGGGAACTGGATGACAGCCTTTTCTCACGCCTATGGGCACTGCACACATGTGGTGCCCACACATACACGCAGACAAAACACTCAGACACATAAAAATAAAACAGTTAAAGGCAACAACAAAAGTAACTTGGAGCCACTCCCACTCTCAGGAGCTCTTTCTCACTGTTCTTAAATAAATTTACATTCAGGGCTGGAGCAATGGCTCAGAGTTAAGAGCACTTGCTCATTTTCCAAAGGCCCCAAGTTCAGTTCCCAGCACCCATGTGGGCAGTTCACAACCACCTGTAACTCCAGGGGATCCTACACCCTCTTCTGGATTTCACAGGTACCAGCACACATGTGCACACACAGAGAAACACATATACATGAATAGTTAAGTCTTTAAAAATAAATCTATGTTTAGTTTTCTTTAAGAAAAGGTCAATCTACAACGTTCACAAAGTGAACCAGATGTCAGTAACGAACTGTTATTCGAGAGAAGGTATTGACTCTATTTTATTTCCTCTTCCTCCTACCTGTATGTAGTGATAAATTTCTATTTGACCCCCAAAAGACTGAACTTCTGGCAGACCTCACATCGAAGTTAATAATCCCCCTTGAGATCATTTAATACTCTGTATTTAATGAGCCTGCGGTCCTACTGCATACTCAGCCTGTTTAAGTTTAACCTGCCTTTAAGAAAACAATGGAACCAACTTTACTATGCCTTGAATGTCCCACACAATCAGCACATTCACTAAGACTACACATTTTATGATTGTTTCTATTGTAACTATTTATTCTATTATCTGCTAAGAAGCAAAACATATAGATTATTTTAACTTAAGGATTTGTGTACTGGGCTGGAGAGATGGCTCAGCACTTAAGAGCAGTGGCTGCTCTTCCAGGGGACTTGGGTTCCCAACGCTTACATGGTTGCTCACAATGGATCTGTAACTATGGTTCCAGAGGCTCTGATGCCCTCTTCTTGGACTCCCTGGGCACCAGACAAACATGTGGTACACAGACATACATGTAGATAAGGCATTCACATATATAAATACAATCTTTTAAATTACTTATTTTTATTTTATGTGCATTGATTGTTCTGCCTGCATGTATGTCTGTGTGAAGGTGTCAAACTCGGAGTTACAGACAGCCGTGAGCCCCTATGTGGGTGCTGGGAATTGAACCTGAGTCCTTTGGAAGAGCAGTGGGCACTCTTTTTGTTTTGTTTTTGTTTTTCGAGACAGGGTTTCTCTGTATTGTTTTGGAGGCTGTCCTGGAACTCGCTCTATAGACCAGGCTGGCCTTGAACTCACAGAAATCCGCCTGCCTCTACCTTCCGAGTGCTGGGATTAAAGGAGTGCGCCACCAACGCCCTGCCAGTGGGCACTTTTAACTGCTGAGCCATCTCTCCAATCCCATAAATACATTTCTTTAGAAAGGTTTTGGTGGCATTTGTTGCCTAGTCATTCAGAAAATACATTAAAAACTATATAATCATGCTTTTTATTAGAAACTCAAAAATGAACAAATATTAGAACGTAAGCATATGTTCTTTGCATCTTTAAGAGCATTGCCATAGCACTAAAAGTAATAAACCCCACACTAGACCTCATGTGGTATGTCACTGTCAAAACAAAAACACACTGGAAACAGAAATTTACACGTAGGGTATGGGTATATACCATGTATTTAAAACAATTTTAGCTTAGACTTTGGTCTCATTACCAAGACATTTCATCATAGAAAGTCTATGTAAATATTTCAAAATCTGGAAAACTAAAAAAAATGTGAAGTTTATTACAATCATTTCAGATAGAAAAGGAATAGTCAATATATATATATATATATATATATATATATATAAACATTTTAAAATCTAAATAAAATGTCAAAACCCCTTACAACCCTAATCCTAAGCACTGAAGATAATGGTTAGTCAACATGCACACTGTTGCTACTATTTCTTCTCCAATGAACCACCTAAGCTCCAAAATATACTAACATCTCTGTAATGATTTAATCCTCACACCTGCCCTGTGAGACAGACACTTGTATCTATTATTTAGCAAATGGGAAAATTAGGTACTGTACCAAGAGTTTAAAAAAAAATTAAGAATATATACACAAATAAGAGTTGTGTTTAATTCAGGCTCTTCAAGGTAAGACAGAGAGTGAAGCTGTATGTAGGTCAATGGTAGAACACTTGCCTAGCTGGCATTTAAGACGTTCTAGAGCCATCCTGAACTCCAACACAAAGAAAAAACTTTTTTAAAAGTTTTGGGAAACAACAAAATCAAAAGAGAAAACAACAAAAAAAAGAAATTTCAGATACCCTTTTAGTACTGTACTTTAATTCACTTTATAAAGGAGAAACTGAGACAGACAGAGAGAAAAGGGTTTACCATCTCACACATTAGTAAGCACAAATACAGTGGGGTTGCTTAAGAATTTGAACTCTTCTGTTACTCAAATCATACTACTCTTTCTCTACTTTCAAAACAGATTTAGAAAATTCCCTATTTTCCTTCTTTAAACTAAGCAAAGGCATAATACATACATTTTGGAAAGAGGAGCTTGTCTTTCTTACAGGAGACCCAGGATTTACTTTATTTTCTGAAGCTACTCGTGCATCCAAATGGTGGACATCCTTTTCCAAACAATGACGTTTTCTCATCTATAAACACAGAACCAGATGAAGAATAGTTAGATTGTGGATGTTTCTACCTTCCCTCATCTTCCTTCAAAAGGCTAGTTCTAACTAGCAATAATAAAATCTTGGAGCTGGAGAATTGGCTCAGTGGTTAAAAACACTAGCTGGCCTTCCAGAGGTCCTGAGTTCAATTCCCAGTCACCACATAATTGCTCACAATCTGGTGCCTTTTTCTGGCCTGCAGGGCTACATGCAGACAGAACACTGTATATAGAATAAATAAATACATCTTTAAAAAAATAAAATCTTAAAAACTAATATACACAGAAACCTCATAACACCATTAAGGCCAAAGAGAATATATGGTAGCAATTCTTGTGTCCTAATCAAGTATTAATGCATAAGAATTACAAAAAAATTTACTGTATTACAATGATCTTCCTATAAAATTGTCACACCATGTAGACAATAAATACAGCAATACAGCAAAGCCAATTCACATACCTAACTGGAAAATACATTAATAACTAATGTATTCTAGATTCTAGATTCTAACTTCATTTATAATTGTTACTTTTACAAAAATAAGCTAGTTTATTCTACTTCTAAAAACAAGATTTAATTCTAGAACACAAGCAATTTAAATATAGCCATGTGAAAGTACTCAATTTACATATAATTGACATGTTAATTAATAATCCCTCTTATGTATTTATAACTAAGTGCATTAAATTGTCAATCTCCCTATCTCTGTGGCATACATTTTAAAAAAAACTGTGTTCCTCTATGTTATATTCCATATGATGTACCTGGTGATTCAGTTTTTTAAATAAGTTTTAGAAATATTCATGTCTTGTAATGCAGTGATCTTAAAAACTCAGTGGACTGGAGAGATGGCTCAGAGGTTAAGAGCACTGCCTGCTCTTCCAGAGGTTCTGAGTTCAATTCCCAGCAACCAAAATGAAATACATACAAGCAGAATACTGCATACTAAATAAACAAATCTTAAAAAAATATTCAGTAAGTAGTCAGGCATATGGGTTCTGCATGTTTACAATCCCAACTATGTAGAAAGCCAAGGAAAGCTGGGCGTTGGTGGCGCACGCCTTTAATCCCAACACTCGGGAGGCAGAGGCACGCGGATCTCTGTGAGTCCGAGGCTAAGCTGGACCGACAGCCTCCAAAACAATACAGAGAAACCCTTTGGCGTAAAACCAAAAAAAAAAAAAAAAAAAATCAGTGTAGGCAACTCAGAAAGATCCTGTCTCAAAGTAAGTGACTGGACTATAAACTCAGTGGGAAAGAGTATTTGCTAAGCATGCTGGAGGACCTGGATTCAATACCTGTGCATGCACACAAACGCCAAGAACACCACTGAAACAACATTAAACCTCCATACATAAGAGTAAACTTTGTCATTTCACTTACACTATCAACACTTATCAAAGGTATTTGAACCAAAAGAAAGTGCTATAATTAAGTAGAGAGAATTGAAGAGTTTTAAAAGTACAGTAATGGGGCTGGAGAGATGGCTTAGCAGGTAAGAGCACCTGTTGTTGCTCTTTGCAGAGGACCCAGGTTCAGTTCCCAGCACCAACATGATGGTTCACAAGTATCCTTAACTCCAGTTCCAGGGGATCCAATAACCTCGTCTGACCTCTACTGGCATCAGGTATGCATGAGGAACACATACACACATGTAGGCAAAACTTTCCAGGGGATCTTTACTGGCATCAGGTATGCATGTGATACACATACACACATGTAGGCAAAACTTTCACACACATTAAAATAAAATTGTAAGTACAATACTCTTCAACAGCAAAGATGCTAAAACTGTAACAATATAAAATAACAAGGCCTCTGTACAAGGATAGCACAAAGAGTCACAAAACTCTCTCATATGAAAGATCTAGTTTAATAAAAAAAAAATCAGATGAGAAAGCAGAAAATAAGCTGCTTGGGAAAAGGAGACCAGCAAAGTGGGGAGAATAGGAGAGTGTCACTATGCTCAAAACATAAAATCCATGAATAAAAATGTCATCATGAAACCTATTATTTTATATAATGAATTATAGTAGTAATTTTGAAAATTAATAAATCAGAAAAGTTACAAAGTTGCTATATGTTTAGGATATGCCTTAAGTAAATACCATCATATTATTCATGTAAAAGAAAAGATCATGCAGTTGCATTATATTAGTGTAAACAACCTGCTACACTAACAACTTCCCTGGCAGCAATAACAACAAAATGAAAAGGACCATTTACTTTGTAGCTATTCTCTACCAGTGCCACCAACTTCATGTTCAGCTATGCCTAACTCCATAACTAGGTTATTTTAGCAGTCAATAAACTGCTTACCTGCTGTGCAGTCTCTAAGGGTCGGATTCTTTTCTTCTCCATTTGAAAATCATCATCTTCATCTCTGTGTATAGATGCCTGTTTCTTAGCAGATAACTTTGCAGCCAAAGTATTTTTTTCAGGAGAGTCTTATATAAAAAGTAAGTTTACAATAAATATGGTAAATTTATAATAGAGATATTATAAATAGCTCATTCTAAGGAATTTTAGAAGAAAACCAATATTTAAGATATTAAATACAAATATAAATTTCATAACACAGTTTAAAACCTATGATTTTTTTCCAATTGGCTGATTGATTGAGACAGTGTCTCACTATCCTAGCTGGCCTAGAACTTCCTATGTAGACCAGATTAGCTCAAACTCAAAGAAATCCGCTTACTTCTGCCTCTGAGATTAAAGATATGCACCAAGACATCCAGCAAGATATTTTTTAAAAAACTTTTTATCACCCAATTTATTTTTTGCCATAAATACACAAAGCATTTCAAGAAACACACATTTAACAGGACTCATGTTTTATAGGCTATACTGTATTACATGGTTTAAGAACTACAACTGTAAGGAGTATCGCTCAGCTGGTAGAGCAGTTGTCTGGCATGTGAGAAGCTTTAGGCTCAATCTCTAATACAAAGAATGCTGACAAAAAAGAGGCAACCAAGGTTACTTCACTTCTATGAAAGCCTTAGCATTTCTGTCCTACTGAGCTTCATCATGTTCTTTAGACTAGAAGCACTCACTGACTAAAACTCATGTCTTAATCTCACAACTCTGAAAGCTCATTCTTAAAGCCATCAAAACCCTCTTAACTGCTAAATTATAAAAATTATTCCCATTTTACTAAAGTGAATTTTAAAGAAATGGCCAATATTACAAAGTTAATAATTTGCAGAATTTAAGAGCAAGAGATTTGTCATTTTACTTTAAGATCTTTAAGGATAATTTCAGTACTGACAAACACAACATGCTATTTTCTGGAAACATGGCAAACACATTTCCTTTTCCTCCATGTCCATAACGACATTTTCACTATCCTATGCATTAACTGCTCCCATTTCCTATGTACCTTTTCTTAAAGGTACCTCCTTCCTCTGTCCCTTGACACACTCTTCCATTTCTGTGATTTAAATACCTTTAATAGTTACTTCTTGCACTGAGTACACGATGACCAGATAGCATGAGAATCAATGAAAGTGAAACAGCGCCTTGGCTTAAAAGATTCACAAATTACTCACTCACGGAGCAGAAAGATCTACAGAAGCAGACACAACAAGTTTAAGCCTATACACACAAAATAGAATCTATGTCAGATGCCAAAATTTTTCAGGAGACTTTTTTGGGTTGCTATATGTTTAATGGAAGAATATGTGTGATCCCCCATGTGAGTACCCACATGTGCATACACACATGTGCGTGTATGTGCATATTCATGGAAGCTAGAGGTCAACTGCAGGTATCTTCCTCAATCACTTCTCCACTTTTTTTTTCTTGATACAGTGTCCCTCACTGAACCTGGAGCTCACTGATTAACTAAACTGATTGCCCCACAGATCCTGTCTTCACCTCCTCGATGCTGCAGTTAGATGTACGCATTGAACTCAGATTTTTTTTAATCAAGACTTGTTTTATTATCTTCAACTGCATATGTGCACATGAATGTATATGCCCAGAGAGGATATGAGTGCTGAGAACTGAACTCTGGTCTCCTGGAAGAGCAGTTCTTGCTCTTAACCTCTGAACCACCTCTCCAGCCTCACACTTGCGATTTTAAGCGGGTGGTGGAGAATCAAACTCAGGTCCTCATGCTTGCACAGCAAACACTTTAACAAATGAATGCTCTTCGTGGACACAGATAGGAATAGGTTTTTTTAATATAATGATAATTAGTTCAACAATAAGGATCAAAGACCCAGATCTTCCATGATCCAAAAGCCTTTTCCATAAAAGCCATTAAAAAAGAAAAAATATAAACACAGAAGTTTTCTTTATATGCTATGATTTTTATTGTCTTGTATTGAGCTTATCTTTCTTAGCACAAGGTAGGTTAATTTTCTAAACTACATTATTGTTTTTGGTATAGTTCCTAGTCTTCTTTTAATTTACTTAAACATTGTGTGTATGAGTGATTTGTCTGCACACAGGTATATATACCACATGCATGTGGGGCTTGTAGAAGCCAGAAGAAGGTGTGGGAGTCCCTTAACTGGATTTACACATGGTTGTGAGTCACCATGTGAGTACTGGGATCAAACCCAGGTCCTCAGGAGCCATCTCTCCAGTTCTTTATCTATTCTCTACAGTTTAGGAGTTTGCAAGGAGTTCACCAAAAAGGTTAAATTATTAAAAAGCTTAAAAAGAAGTTAGGTATCTCCAAAATATATGAATGAAGAAAGAAAGAGAAAAGGGTGGGGACTTGCATTCCATACCATCTCAATAAAGCTAATATAGCAACAAAGTGAGTCACATGAATTTTGTTTCCCATTGCATAACGTTATGTTTATACTGTTCCTACTGCAGCTATTAACTATGTAATATTAACATCTGAAAAAAAGAAGTAACTTAATTTTAAAATGCCTTATTTTAAAATACACCTTATTGCTTAAAAAAAGAAAATAGCAATCATGCTTTTAGAAAAAAAAAATGGAGGGCTGGAGAGATGGCTCAGAGGTTAAGAGCACTGACTGCTCTGCCAGAGGTCCTGAGTTCAATTCCCAGCAACCACCAACCACATGGTGGCTCACAGCCATCTACAGTTCAATCTGGTGTCCTCTTCTGGCATGTAGTCAGAACACTGCATATGTAGTGAATAAATAAATCTTAAGAAAAAAAATGGCATCAACTGTGGAATATCCCTTTCCACTGTGTGAGTATATGTCACTGTGACTGGTTTAATAAAGAAGCTGACTGCCGGGTGGTGGTGGCACATGCCTTTAATCCCAGCACTCGGGAGGCAGAGGCAGGCGGATCTCTGTGAGTTCCAGACCAAGCCTGGTCTACCGAGCGAGTTCCAGGACAGGCTCCAAAGCAATACAGAGAAACCCTGTCTTGAAAAACAAAAAAAAATAAAAACTAAAAATAATAAAATAAAAAATAAAGAAGCTGACTAGCCAACAGTTGGAAAGGGTAAAGTTAGGCAGGAAAACCAAACTAGGACACTGGGAAGAAGGGTGGAGTCAGAGAGGTTGCCAAGAGATAAGAGGGAAGCAAGACATGCTATAGGACAGGTAAAGCCACAAGCCATGTGGCAATACATAGATTAATAGAAATGGATTGGGCTGGATAGATGGCTCAGAGGTTAAGAGCATTGGCTGCTCTTCCAAAGGACCAGCATCCACATGGCAGCTGTAACTCCCAAGACCTGACACCTTCAAATGCACATAAAATAAAGACAATGGAAGAAATGGGTTAAGTTGTAAGAGTTAGTTAGTAATAAGTCTGAACTATAGGCTGAAAATTTATATATTAAATCTCCGTGTCAGTTATTTGGGAACTGGCAGGTGGGAAAGAAAAGTCCCCCTACAATCAACAAATTTGTTCAATTAAGAGTTACCACAGACTTTTGATTTGAAAAGAATATAGAATCCACACAAAGTAACATAAAGTAAGGTATGCCTGCATTATTGAAGGAGGGCTAGAGGAAAGATCACAAAAACTGGGTAACTGTTGGCATTATCTACTACAGCTGATAAAAATGTACATGCTATAACCATCCTATTTCTAAGTATGTATATAATAGAAAAAAATCTATTTGTACCCATACAAACAAGAAAATCCTGTGTTATTAAACAAAAGTGGAAACAACTCAATTATCTGACAACTGTAGAACAGATGAATATATCCTGGCATATCAAAACAAGGAAATAAAATACAGAAGAGAAAGAATAAAAGCAATAGATTCTCAGCAATACAATACCGAGACAGACATAAGGCCACATATATGATTCCACTTGCATAACGAAGAGAAGCACATCATGGTGACAGAAGACAACACAGAGGAAAGCTAATGTGGGGAGGGGTTAACCCAGCAAAACATCTCAGTAATCAAAGTGAGAACACGAATAAAAAAGTCCAAAAGTTTTTGAGCAGTCAATGTTGTGGTAAAATTATTCCACTAGGGCACATTGTGCAGTTCAAAGCACATTCTTTGACATACTTGAAGCTTGAAGTTCCATAACCAGCATCGAAAATAAATAAATACAATTTAAAGGATTTCAGAGAGGCTCCGTGCATAAATGCACATGTGCCCAAGACCAATTACCTGAGCTAGGACCCACATGGTGGAAGGAGAGAACTGACACCAGCAGGCTGTCCTCTAGAAACCACATGAGTGCTGTGGCACATATACCCATTCACACACACACACACACACACACACACACACACACACACACACACACACACACACACACACACACACACGCACACACACACACAGAGGCACACACACAGAGGCACGCATGCACGCACACACACGATCATGCACAATAAAAAGATAAATATAATCAAATAAAGAATTTCAGGAGGGCTGAAATTCCAGTCCCAGGGTTTTTAAGGTTATCAGGCATACACAGGAAACAGACATACACTGCAGACAAATACTCATATACACAAAATAAATTAAAAAAAGGAATTTCAGAAAAATTAATCATACTAGCTAAATTTATATGAATTAAGCTTCAGAATAGTAATAAGTAAGGGAGGATCCAATACAGATTCCAACAGACATAAGCAGAATATAATTTACCTCGACAGGGTGATGAAGCGCCATTTCTTTCCAACGGTTTGCTTGGACTACTGAAATGAGGTGAAGTGCCCATGTTCGTGTCACTGTATGTAAAATTCTTTGAATGGCATGCACAGCAGCATGACGATGGCACCTCATGCTTTTTACTCAAGCTCTCATCCATTGGCTTTCCTAAACAAAACAAAACACCCTGTTTACAATATAACTAACAGATAGTAATTCTCCTTTTAGCTAAGTAAGCAACCACCTCAGTTCACCAAGAACTGAAAGTTTCCCAGGTTACAAGATTAAACTAAGAGAAACAATCTACCTGAACCTTATCTACAGTACAGAATCAGGACGGAAGAGAAAAACTATGCCTGCAATGTGTTCAGAAATATTATCAGTGTATAAACTATAAAAACATAATAACGAAGATTAATAATGTAATTAAAAGTACAATCACTCTCGTATTTATTTATATTCAGATTTATTTCAGAATCAAGCAAAAAGGGTTTCATTACTGCTATTTCCCTATTGGAAGAATTTGAAATTTCAGTATTCTAAATAATAAAGATAAGGATTGTCACAGTTCACATTATCCTTATTTTTTATTTACTTTTTAGGGTTTTTGTTTGTTTGTTTTTGAGATAAGACTTTCCGCAAAGCCCTGGCTGGCGTGGAACTAAGTAGATCTCAAACAGAGATCCACTTGCTTCTGCCTCCTGAGTTCTGGGATTAAAGATGTGAGTCACCACATCCACGCTCACATTGTATTTCTATTCAAATAGCAATATTCAGCTTTGGTGAGGTCCCCCACACCTTTAATGACAGCACTCAGGAGGCAGAGGCAGGTGGATCTCTGGTGATCTACACAGTGAGTTCCTGGACAGCTAAGGCTACATAAGGAAACTATTGTCTCAAAAACAAGCAAACAAAAAATCAAATCAAACAGAAACATTCTATCACCTACACATTCTGATATGAGTATCAAAGTACATTTAGGACAATATTCAAATCCAATATAAATTAAGATACCTAAACATACTTTTTAAAATTACAATAGGGGGACTGGAGAGAGGGCTTAGCAGTTAAGAACATTTACTGTTTTCCCAGGAATCTCAGTTCAGTTCCCAGCACACACATAGCTGCTCACAACCATCTGCAACTCCAGATGGCCCAATGCTTTCATCTGGGCTGCTCAGGCTCCAGACATGCATGTGGTGCATAGATATGCAAGAAAATATACTCACACACATAAATAAATACTTTTAAAGAAAATTAACAGTGTCTACATTATGTGCCCACATAATATACAATTACACAACTCATATACTTTAAAAAGCTAATCATGTTGGGTGGTGGCAACTCATGCCTTTAGTCCTAGCATTTGGGAGGCAGAGGCAGGTGGATCTCTGTGAGTTTGAGGGCAGCCTGGTCTACAGAGAGAGCTCTAGGACAGTCACAGCTACACAGAGAAACCCTGTCTTGAAAAACCAAACCAAACAAAACAAAACAAAAGAATGAGTAAGGAGCAGCTGCAGAGATGAGTTAAGTGCACTGCCTGCTCCTCCAAAGGTCCTAAGTTCAATTCCCAGTAACCACACGGTGGCTCACAACCATCTATAATGAGGTCTGGTGCCCTCTTCTAGTATGCAGATAGAACCATATATATGTATATATATGTAATAAAATTTTATAAAAAAATTTACTAACTTTCTGATAAAAATAGAAAAATGAACTGGGAGTGGTGGCACACACTTCTAATCCCAGCACTCAGGAGGCAGAGGCAGACATATCTCTGTGAGTTCGAGGCCAGCCTCATCTACAAAGCAAGTTCCAGGACAGCCAGGGCTACGCAGAAAACCCCTGTCTCAAAAAACCAAAAAAGAAAAAGAGAAAGAAAAGAAAACAAGCTAAATTTTTTTTTTAGTTTTTTTTATTTTAAATAGCTTGTTTTACATGTCAATCCCAGTTCCCTCTCCCTCCCCTCCTCCCGCACTCCCCTTCCACCCTCCCTCCCACCCTATTGCCACATACTAAATTAGCCACAAGCTAAATTTTTTAAATATACTGATGACATTGTTACTCATTTGTAATACAGATAACTGCCATTAAAATTTTTCTTTTTATTTAAATATTTTTTCATACAATACATACTGATAATGCTCCTATCATCCCTCAGTTCCTCTTAGATCTTCCCCACCTCCGCATCCACTCAACTATATAACTTTCTCTTTGTTTAAATAAACATGAACAACAATAAACACATACATTAAAATTCCACAAAAATGGAAACCAAAATATGCACTCAAAAGATCAATAAGATAGAAAAAATGCCTAAATAAGCAATAAAGAGACAAAAAGTCTACAAAAGTATCATTGAGTTAGTTTTGTGCTGGCGAACTACTCCTGGGCATGTAGCCTACCATGAAGCATGTGTAATATACTCAGTGAGACTCCATTGGAGGAAACTATTTCTCCCTTTGCGAGCAGATTATCAGTTGCAGATAACCTTTTGGTCAGGAGTGAAAGCTCATGTCCACTTGTAGTTGTCAGTACTGGGATTCCTGACTTGAACCTGTGTGCTGCCACAGTCACTGTGAGGTTATATGTTTATCAGTTCTGTAAGACACTGCTTTCTTGGAGTCATCTATCCCCTCTGGCTCTAGTAATCTTTCTACTTGCTTTTCTACACAGATCACGAGCCTCAGGGTGAGGGGCTTGATGAAGACGTCCCAGTTAGGACTGAGTGCTCTAAAGTGTCTCAAGCTGCACACAGTCCAGTCGTAGATCTGTGTCAGTCCGGTCTACTGTAAGAAGACACCTTTCTGATGATGGCTGCTGACTGGCACCAGTAACAACCAAAACGGACAGCCAAAAGATCATAAAATTTCTACTTTTTTTTAGCAGTCTTTCTTTACATTTATTTCACCATTTGTCTGTGTTAATGTGGGGAAGCGGGGACACACACTATGGCATGTGTGTGGAGCACAGAGGATAATTTGTGCCTCTCCCCTGTGGTTCCAGGCATGGAACACGGGTCATCAAGACTGGTAGTGAGCACCTTGAGTGTGGAACCGTCTTGCACACCCCTTGTTACCATATTTATCAGTAACACAAACATTTCTTTTTTATTATTTATGTATGTATGTGCATTGTCATGCCATAGTGCGCACGCTGAGGTCAGAAGACAACTTGCAGGGTCAGTTGTCTCTTTCCACGAGGTCACCAGGCTTAGAGGACAGCTCAGACATTTCCTTTAACAATGCATCTATACACATAAACATTCCTGTGATTAACTTCACATTCTCATAATACTTTATGTGAGACTTATCTATTTATATACCTGAAAAATACTCCATACTATATTTCAGATTTGTTATTAAGATTACAAAGTCTTAGGGCTAGAAAGATGGCTGAAGTTGAGTACTTCCTGCTCTCCAGGGAAGCCAGGTTGAGTTTCCAGTATAAACATGGGGGAGTCCACAACCCCACCATTACTCTAGCTCCAGGTCATCCAATACTCTCTTCTGCCATCTGTGAGCAGCTTACATAAACCCATGCACACATAATTGAAAATAAAAATAAATATTTTTTAAAACTTAAAGTTTTTCATCAAGTAAATATTAATAGCAATTTTGTGTTTACCTAGATGATGTCATACTTTAATAAAAAACAATCATACAGAAGTTCTATGAGCAAATACATAGAACAATTACAAATAGATTTTGCCTCAAAACCCAGCTTTTACAAACAGAAACATTAATTCAGGATTGCCTGTAGGAATTTATAAAAACATTTAAGTCCAGGACTCACTTCTGGAAAGGGGTGCAATGGGAACCTTTTGTTATATGGATGCATACGTTCTTATTTATTTTCTGGCAGTTCTGGGTACTGAACCCTGGACTTTACACATGCTAGGAAAGTGTTATATCTCTGAGCTATACCCCTAGCCCAGGACTCCAGTTTGTTTGCTTGTTTGTTTTTTCAAGACAGGGTTTCTCTGTGAAACAGTCCTGGCTGTCCTGGAACTTGCTTTGTAGACCAGGCTGGCATCCAACTCACCTCTACCTCCCAAGTGCTGTGATTAAAGGTGTCTGCCACCACTGCCTGGCCAAATTTGGTTTTTAGTGACTGATTCTTGCTGTATCCCAGGCTTCCTTTAAGCTCTGGACTCTCTGGCCTCAGCTTCCTGTGCTAGGGATGCAGGGGCACACGCCCAATCCCAGCCAAATTTACTTTTTGAGACAAGGTCTCATTTTATAGCTCTGGCAACAACTAACATAATAGGACATAAGAGAAATAAGCTTCTATTTACTTGGCATTCAAACAAGTAGAGCAACAAGTATCTTTTATTTACTTATTTATTTAGAGCTAGGGGTTTGCTATATAGCCCAGGCTGGCCTTTAACTCACTGTCTTCCTCTTCAGTCCCCCAAGTACAAGGCTTACTGGGATGTACCATTATTCCAGGTTTGTATGTTTTCTTCTTAATATATTCCACATTTTAATGTTATAAAAGTCAGATAAGCAAATATATTCAAGGACAGTCAAGCAATTAGCATATATATCAGCTTCATCAGAGCTCCAGTTCCTATTTCTTTTTTTTTTTTTTTTTTTTTTTTTTGGTTTTTTTTGAGACAGGGTTTCTCTGTGGCTTTGGAGGCTGTCATGGAACTCGCTCTGTAGACCAGGCTGGTCTCGAACTCACAGATATCCGCCTGCCTCTGCCTCCCGAGTGCTGGGATTAAAGGCGTCAGTTCCTATTTCTTAGATACCAATTGTCATCTACTTATTTTCATAAGACCTCCAAATATCTAAAATGTTTGCATACACTCTACATAGTCAAGTAAAAGGACTAAATTGTTTTAATATTACTTAAGAATTAATTTTGATGTATTCAACTTCTTTTGGAAGACTTAACAATGTTTGGAGGGGCTGCTACATGGCCTTGGCTGGCCTGAAACGTGCTAAGTGGACCAAGCTGGCCTTGAACTGTGGAAATCCTCTTGTCTTTGGCTCCTGAATGCTGGAATTATATATGTGCAACACCCTGCCTGGCACAGATGATGCATCTTGAAGAAACATCTTGACGGAGATTATTTTGGTTTAACTGATTTGTTAGAACAATGTTTGAACTAGTCTAGATAAAGTGTATTATACGGTATTTTTCTCAGGTCCTAACGAGTAACCTGAAGATATCAAGAACTTACCTGGGGCTGGCCTAATTGTTCAGCAGGTAAAGACACACCTGCCACTGAGCCTGACGACCAGAGTTCAATATGCTGAGTCCATATGGTGGAAGGAGAGAAGTAATTCCTGCAACTTGCCCTCTGATGTCCCTACAATAGCACATGTGCCTACACATGTATGCACACACAAAATAAATAAAATAATTTTTATAAGAGCTACTTACCAGTAAGAGACTGTTGCCATGCTAACGCGGAACAAAGTAAGGCTAAACTTTTCCCACTTCCTGTGGGACTCTCCAACAAACAATGCTGACTACAGTTCAGTCCCCTGACAATCTGCGGACAAAGACATCAACTTTTAAAAAGATAACAATACAGGATTATTTTATCAGTCCTCACTCCATTGAATAGGAACATGAACAGAACAGCACAGAAGAGTTCAGATGCACTCCAGGAAACATAAGGGAGAACTAGAATTTTGTCAAATCTAGGCAATCTATTGGTTTTACAAGTACATCAAACACACATATACACACACACACAAATTAAATAAGCAACTTTAATTACACAAGCATGAACTGTTTCTATAAAATTGTAATATGTGCTGGAGAGGTGGCTCAGCATTTAAGAGCAGTTGTTGCTGTTACAGAAGATCCAGGTTCAATTCCCATACGCACATGGCAGTTTACAACCACCTCTAACTCCAGTTCCAGGAGATCCGACTCCCTATTCCCACCTCCTCAGGCCTCTGGTACACAGACATACCGGCAAGCAAAACACTCATACAGGAAAAAAGGGACTGTAGTATACTAATACACGTATTTATAAGAAAAACTTAATGAGTAATACCACTAATGCAAGCACTAACAGTTATAACCCTAACATCTACCCCATCTATGAGCTACAGGAGTGCTTGAGGGGACTGATGCTGTGAGACAGTAACCGCAGCGTCTTCATGACACAGGCAAGAGCAGGTATCTGAAAGTTCAGTGATGATGGTGTACCACACTTGTCGCAATCAGCATTTTGTTGGTGGGGCTGACTGGACAAAAGGGCAACACACCACAGCTCTCAATGCCACAAGGATGAATGAAGAAGTGTTGGAAAGACAGAGGAATAAGGTGATTTCTTGTTTGTTTTCTTTTGAGTTGATTTGGGGGGGTGTTCTTTTAAGGAGATGCTTTGGGGAAAGAATTGGGGTGCATGTTGTGAAACTCTCAAAAAATCAATAATTGTTAGATAAAAATTAAAAATGTAAAAGGAAGATAGATGCCCAAGTTCGCTAAGTCCATCACTAAGCACATACCCCAAACCCTTCCTACACAAACACAAGAAATATGTGTGAGTTGGTTCACAGCATCATTTTTTGCTAATTCCAACAGATTAAGAGCAACCTAAATACCACCAGCAAGAAAATGGGAAGATTATGATATCCATACAATAAAATGCCATATTGCAATTAAAATGATCTAACAACCAATTAGGACACATTAAATATAGAATTACAAAAACAAACAAACAGTTGTTAGGGATTCAGCTCAGTGGAAGAGTGGGTACCTAGCATCATGAAGCTCTGTGGTCATCCGTACCACCACTGTTCTAGTCTCATTTCTGTGGCTGTGATATCACACTTTGACAAAAAACAACACAGGGGAAAAGGAGCTTATATTTCATGTACAATTCCAGGCAATAGTTCATCAGAGCAGGGAAGTCACAGTGGCAGGGTCTTAAAGTAACCAGCCATATCCTTAGTCAGGAGCAGAGAAATGAATGCACATGTTCATTTTCTTGTGCTTAGATCAATTTTTCCACCTTTCATAGCTCAGGACTCCCTGCCCACGGTAGGTTAGGTCTCCTCACAACAGTTAAGACAATCCCCGGTAGGGGCTGGAGAGACGGCTCATCAATTACGGACTCTAGCTGTTCTTACAGAGGACCTAGGTTCAATTCTCAGCACACAGCACGGAAGCTCACAACCATATGTAATTCCAGTTCCAGGGTATCCAATACCTTTGCCTGGCCACCTCAAACACCATGCATGTACATGGTGTGTGTGTGTGTGTGTGTGTGTATATATATATATATATATATGCAGGCAAACTACTTGCACACACACACACACACACACACAGAGAGAGAGAGAGAGAGAGAGAGAGAGAGAGAGAGAGAGAGAGAGAGAGAGAGAATAAAATTGAAGTTCCAAAGGAACGGAGAATGGCTTCAGATGGTTCTTCCTTATATGCTAACCACATACAGCTTAGGAGTTATTGATACTACTTCCCTAAAAGTACATGCTGTTTCAAATGAATCCAGCAAATATCAACCATCATTTTGTACCTGAGAGTAGTTAAAAAATCATTGTATAGTTGGAATCTTAACTGCTGTAAAAATACTTACAGAGTTCATCATAGCAAGCTGTGCTGGATAAGCTTTACAAGGAAAGTTAATCTTCACCCCACCAATGGTGTATTCAGACGACACTGAGGACATTCTGTTTTCTTCTTTGCTTTAGATACTTCACTGGAACAGAAACAATAACATCAGTATTGAAGGACTGGAGAGATGGCCCAACAAGTTAGGAGCACCCACTGCTCTTCAAGGACCTCAGCTGGATTCCCAGCACTCACAGATGCCTATGACTCCAGTTCCAGGGGCTTTCACACCCTTGTCTGGCTTCTGAAAGAAGCTGTATTTACCTGGAATACACACACACACACAAAGAGTATTTATAGTATTGAAATAATGTCATTCAAAGAAAGCCAGACACCTAGCAATAGAACAGAAGTCTGATAATAAAAACTGGAATAAGCACATATACAAAAGTAATGGTAAGAAAAAAAAATTCTTAGCCTTAAAAATAAATCACAGGGTGAAGATCATGAACAGGAGTCTGACAAATCTGGATTGGCATGTCTACTCCATGAAGCATTAGTTATGTGACTTTAGGCAAATCACTTAACTTTTCTAGAACTCCATGTCCTCAGGTACAGAATAAGAATAGCAACAGGACTGCTGCAAAGGTTAAATAAAATAATGTAAAAACATACAGTTTCTGGCAGAAGCACAAGCTCCTGGGACAACTTGGATTACATGTAATTGACTTACAAACACACAGACTTCTGAAGCCGCTCTGCTAGTCCAGGGCCCACTTTTTTCTTATTCTGCACATGCTTATTTCCCCTCCTCACACTTTTTCACATAGAAGAGGAGCAGGCAAACAAGAAGCAGAGGTTGTATCCTTGACCTATCATTTTACTTCTAGGACCTAAAACTCTTCTCTGCAGTATGTCTAACTTTAAAATCATTTTAAGGCAGAAAGCATCTTTTTCCACAGTAAGTCTTTCAGTTTTTAAATCATCTTTTAATTTACTGGGGGAAAAGGACACATATACCATGGCACATGTGTGGAAGTTAGAGGACAATTTGCTGAAGCCAGAATAGGTTCTCTCCTTCGCCCATTTGGGTCTCAGGAATTAAACAGAAATCTTCAGGCTTGTTGTGCCTTTATCGGCTGGGTGGGTGGGGCAACATAAAGGTGGAAGAGGGATCTGAAAGGGTTCAGGGTTCAGCGTGAAGGGTGAACTGGGGATGGATATGGTCAAGACACAGTGTATGAAACTGTCCAAGAATAGGAGATTCTTAGAAAAAGTATCCAATCATTGATTATATCTGTATACCTCTGAGGCTTAGTAGAATCTTATTAATTTCTTAATCTGAAGCAAGAACTCAATACTGTTTTACTAAAATTAACCTAGATGGCAATCTATGACTGCAGCTGTGGCAACATTCAAAACCTGGGATCTTCCCTTGTAGAATGCATCAAAGAGAAGCAAGCTTCCGGATGTGGTGGCGCAGATTTTTGACCCCCAACAATCAGGAGGCAGAGGAAGGAGGATCTCGTGAGATCGAGACCAGCCTGGTCTACATAGATAGTTCCAGGTAAGCCTGGGCTTCAAGGTGAGATGCTGTCTCTTTAAAAAAAAAAAAGCAACAGTCTGTCTCCCGCCAACAACTACTGCTGGGGCCGGGGCCGGGACTACTTCCAGGTCTGCATCACAGAAGGTAGGAACAGGGTCCAAGCTCCTCAGCTTTCCTTCCCCAGGCTCCCAGCTCTCGCACAGCCAAGGATGCCCCGGGCCGAGTAATTTGGTCACGTCCAAAGGCCTGAGAGCACGCCAGCGCCGGACTGCAGGCACCTGCCCCCCGCCGTCCTTCCCACTCGCCTGAGACTGGCTCCAGCTCCGGGAGAAAAGCAGATGTTGGCGCTCGAGGAAAGTTCACGAGTAGGAAAAGTCTCCCTCACGTGCTGCTGCGGCGCGGCCAGGTGACGCGCCACCGCCACTCCTCCCTCTGGGCGCTGCAGTTCAGCGGGTCCACACGGGCAAATTCGCGCCTCCCGCCCCTCAGCTCCCGGTGCCCAATCGCCGAGCACGCCAGCCAATCACATGTCGAGGCCAGAAAGTTAACAGCCAATCACCGAGCGAATTCGACGCTGTATCGTCCAATGGGAGTCTGCGAAATAAAAAAGGCCCCAAAGTACTTGGCGGCACCGGAAGGCATCAACCTCAACGAGAAATACAGATCTTGCAGGTTTGCTTGAAGGAAAAACTCTTGGGCCACTTTAAGAAACGGCTGATCTAACCTAGACAACCAGTTCTCTGACGACTGCAAGATTAATTTGCAAGGGTCGTCAACCAACGAAAAGGAAACATCTTTCCTCAGTTGTCTTATCACGAGTAAAATTTCCCAAGGTTACAGCACCTAAAAGGCGGGGAGGGGTGGTGTTTGCAAACTATGTCAGAGTTGCCACTACTATGCCAAAATAAGTGAGAAGGCACATGGCAACTGGTACAGTATTCCGTGATATTCAAGACTTTCTAGGACACCATTTTATCCTCCCGAGAAATAAAATTTCCTCAGAGATAAGGGTTAATCGTAACCTTAATGAATTAATGTTTGGCCATTAGATGTTCTACTATTACAGATACTTATACGTGCATAAAAAAGATAGATATATAGATAGATGTTGTGATCAAGGCGAGGTGGGGAGCCAAGGCCAAGTTTGAGGAATGATATAAGACAGGGAAGAACAAATGGTTTTTCCAGAAGCTTTGCTTTTAGGTATATTTTTGTTTCCATCATTAAATGTTTAAAAAACAAACAAACAAAAGCAAACTCCAGGAGCTGAAGAGATAGGTCAGTGGTTAAAGAGCATGCACTGCTCTTGAAGAGGGCCCAGGTTTGATTCCAGGACTCCATATGGAAGCTCACAACCATCTGTAACTCCAGTTCTTAGGGTCCCATAGCCCTCTTCTGGCCTCCACAGGCACTGTACAGACTTAAGGGAAACCTCAAAAAAATAAAACAAACAAAAAGCAGACTCCAAACTGCATTAGGAATTTAATATGATAGTATGTCAAAGATGGTGTGACTTACTGTTACAATAGTGAGCTGAAGAATCATCTATGATGATTGTTACTTTCCCCTTCTTGATTTTTTGTTTCTTGGCAAACATAAGGGCTTCCCCAACCCTGCTAATTCTTTCATTTTCTGAGACAGGGTCTCTCTCTGTCTTTCTGTCTCTCTATCTCTCTGTCTCTGTCTCTCTCTCTGTCTCTCTCTCTCTCTCTGTCTGTCTCTGTCTCTCCTGTATTCCTGGCTGTCCTGGAACTCACTATGTAGAGCTGGCTGGCCTCAAACCACTTGCCCTCCAGGTGCTGAGATTAAAGGTGTGAACCACTTAGTCTGACACCCTCACTTTAAATAACTATGCTCACTTTCCTCATGTGAACTCCTAAGACTTTCAGTTGACTCCCAGCACTCACTGTCCATTGATATGTGTATGGCCTTACAGAAAGAGATACATTAAAGCCCTGGAACCAGGCAGTCCTAGGGCCTAAGTCTCCCCGATCCCCTTTAACATTAACATTTGTGGAATAAAACACAAAAACTACAGTCTGTTGATAAAGAATATTTATAAACCAATATGCAAAATAGTTGCACACATCTGTTTTGACTTCAATAAAAAATCACATTGTGACAAAGTTTATAACCTTAACTTAAAGATACATGAATATTAACATTTACTAATATTTACACATTTTATTTACATCATCAACAAATCAGATGAAAAACAGCCTATGTTACTACTTTAACACAGTAGGTTATGACCAGTCTTTGAAAATTGGTCCACGAAATGTGTACTACATTTCATTACAAAACATACTTTGAACATTTCTGAATTCCTAAAGGATTTTACTATTCACACAAAATATTCCAGAAAGGCCTCATTTAAAAACAAAACAGGAGCAGTTGTATTTAATCTTAAGAGGCTACAAAACTGCCTCATTTAAAAATATGAAAAATTTTATGGTATATCTTTAAAGCATATTCTTTTACTCGTCACATCAAAATTATTTAATTGAACATTAAGCATCTAATAAAAAGATATATATATATACATATATATATTCCATCATGCATGATACATCTATGCACTTCATGATTGGAAAAGGCTATAAACTTCTTTTAATAGAACACCTTCATGAGGTAGGGTCAGGAGTAACAAAGAAGGAAAATGAGATTTACCTGTGTGCTAGTGGAAAGGATGATGATAAATCTCTTTTTGTAAAAAAAACAAAACACTTTCCTTTTAGCTTTCTACCTTCTTTAATGAGGTCTGTTTTGAGTGGGGTGGCAAATGATTGAGGTATTTCTCAGAGAGCAAAGAAGTACCTTTTACGTTGGCTACTTAATTTTTAAAACTGATTATGGTTATCTGAATGCATACTTAATCATGAAGTTCCTAACAGGACTGCTAAATTCAGCAACACAGTATTTTCCACATTATAATTTTTCCTGAGGTTCAAACACTGTATTTTCTTACTCAAAGATCTCCTCAAAGTAAAATGTGAATTATAATCCTGATGATGAACCAAGAGCTCTATTGGGGTTTATTGCTCTAAAATTCATTTAATTTGATACATCTTTGCTCCTCTGAGAATTAGATAATACAGCATTATAAAAATAAATTTAAAAAAAGAATAAATGAAATTTACTTTCAGGTTATTCTTTGCACAAAGATGTTTCTGTAACTACATTACAATCAGTATCTTAAATTTTCAAATTATTCAAGTATCTCTTTAAACATATGGCTTCATATATTAGGAAAAATTGAAGCAAACATGTGAAGTCTTTTTATCTTCATCTGTAACTCCAAGGCAGTCATTTACTTGTCTTTTTTTTTTTTTGACAGGGTTTCATTATGTAGCTTTGGCTGTCCTGGAACTCACCATATAGAACAGGCTATCCTCAAAAACACAGAGATCCACCAGCCTGTCTCTCCCTAGGGCTAGGATCTAAAGGCATGTGCCGCCACACTTAGCTTACCTGCCTTTTTTAAAACCTCCTTACTATAGTTTCTCTCAAACCAGAATTCCAACCTGCATTACTGTTACTGGCATTACAAGTCTGAGATTTTTGTGTATTTAACTGGTAATTTTTCCTGAATTATTCCTTCCCTACATTCCTCTTTTTTCTTCCTCTCATTCCTTCTTTGCTGAAAACTGTTAAAAGGTCACAAATATGAGGGACAGCCACAGGCTCACTTTTTATTAGAAGTTAAATTAAAGGTCTGGCTATCTTTCTTCACTAAGTGCATGGCCCAATCCCTTTCTAGAAATGAGTTTCTTACAGTATTCCCAATGGAAAAGAAGTTCAGCTGCTACAATATAAACATATCATCAGAGCAGATCCAAAGATATGCCAATCAAACATAAGCAAGTATAATTCTTAGAGTTCTAAATTATACACATCTCAGCAATTTCCAAGATCCCCCTGTTTCCATTCACTTTAGAGTTGTCATAAAATCCAGGTTCCTGTTGGGTATATGCAGCAAACAGATGCATCTTTTTTATTTTTTTTCAAATCCCACTAACACTCATGTTTATTATTTCAATTATTGTGCTTTCAATACAATGACAAAGCTGTACATCAGGATCCGTGCTCCCAGTATCCCTGGATCCATTTTTGTAAGACGGATCTTTACAGATTTGAGACCATCCACTTGGTTTCTCTTTTATTTGTTGAAGACCTACAAAATAAGGGAGAAGGGGGGATAACTAAGGCAACATACTCTGAAATGAATATGGTTTCGTATGAAACGTTAAAAAACAAAACAAAAAGCTGGGCAGTGGTGGCCCACACCTTTGATCCCAGTACTTGGGAGGAAGAGGCAGGTGGATCACTGATTTTGAGACCAGTCTGGTCTACAAAGCAAGTTCTAGGACAGGCTTCCAAGGTACACAGAGAAACCCTGCCTCAAAAAAAAAAAAAAAAAAAAAAGAAAGAAAGAAAGAAAGGAAGGAAGGAAGGAAGGAAGGAAGGAAGAAAGGAAGAAAGGAAGAAAGGAAGAAAGGAAGAAAGGAAGAAAGGAAGAAAGGAAAGGAAAATTGAAAACGAGATACCACTTACGTGTGATGATTGGATCAATGTCCCTAGTCTGAGTGGCAACATCAGAGGCACACACTTGGCCTATTTGAATTAGCAAAGACATAATATCTTCATACAGTGGAGGAAATGCTCGACAAAAGGAGACCAAACTTGGAAGAGTTGGCATAAAGAAAGCATACCGCTTAGCCTGGGTTAGGACTGTTGGGAAGAAATAGAACAGAATTGTTTGTTTTACACAGATATAAACTCAACACAGACAACCTACAGAACAAATTAATATTATGTGTTGTACTGGGAAAACTGTTTTATAGGATGCTGCCCATCCTCATTTTAACAATCCCTACTCTATTAATAAGTCAGTCATCATCCAAGGTCCACATTTTTATTATGTCCCAGCACTGTGATAAGCTTTCATTACTTCACTTAGTTCTCAAAACTGTATCACAACAGCTGTGCAGAAAACTTTAAGCAAACTTTAGAGAAGTTATAAAAGTTGTTTAAGGCCCAACACAATGGCACACTTTTCAAGGATCCCAGCCCTCAAGAGGCAGAGGCAGGCAGGTGTCTGAGTTTGAGGACAGCCTGGTCTACAGAGTTATTCCAAGGCTGAGAGGAGAGTAACTCAGTGTAGAGTCCTTGCCTAGCACATGCAAAGGCCCAGTGCTCAATCTCCAGTTGTGAGGGAAAAATAATGCTGCTCTAAGTCACACAACAGTTAGTGGTAAATCTGGAACTAAACGCAGTATGAACTTTTTAAAAATTGTATGTGCATTGGTGTTTTGCCTTGAGTGTTGGGTCCCCTGGAACTTGAATTACAGACAGTTCTGAGCTGCCATGTGGGTGCTAGGCATTAAACCCAGTTCCTCTGGAAGAACAGTCAGTGCTCTTAACCACTGAGCCATCTCTCCAGTATGAACTCTTAACAACTATAGCTTATTATAACA